GCGGTACAGCGGTAGGCGTTCACAGGCCTCACATATCAGTCTGATCAATAAACTCCGTCAGAAATACCGCTGAATTAAACTGATCACCGTGACGCTTTTTTGCACTTTTAACGACCTAGACTGTTACAGATTTGTTCGTAACTGCACCCCTCTCATGAGGCACCTCGTTGATCTTCTTCAAAGGAATGAAAATTAATTGCGTTTGGACACCGTGGTTAAACTCGTATTCTGCTGGGCTAAGCAAGCGGTCGAGGGTACAGTCATGTCGGCAAACGATGGCTCGAAAACGTCTGCGAATTTCATCGCTGACACACCGGACGTTTTGGTCCATGCACCCTAGCAATAGGTGATTAACGGTCGGCGGCAGGCATTAGACTTATCTCATGGTGAAGGTGAGAGGTGGAAACAAGTTTAGGTTGGTGGGGAAATCCTGGCTGCTCACTAAACCTGAACCACACTTAGCGTTTCATTGAAGGCTATGATTTCGCACATCAAATACAGCCTACGTTTTATCGTGGTCTAATCCCAGACATGTACCCTCTGTGTGAGCCAAGACAGCTGAAAGTCTCTCAGATCACCCTGAATATCCCTCGTTCATGCCAGACAAACAACTCCATATCCAGTGCAACGTCCACAATATCTTCATCGAAATGTACCAGTCGTATTAACCTTTCAGAAATGGCCTGTCTTTGGAATTTAGGTCCTCATTTGAATCATGAGCTGTCGTTCATGACTTTCAAAGTACAACAGCGAACCCTAGATTCAAATAAAGATACAATTCTGTGAGATCTGTCAGCTGGTCGACTATATCCGACAACGCCAGAAAAATGTCTGATATAATGCCTTCAGTGAGCTACACAAGCCACCTCATTCATGTATACAAACCACCACCAACTTCCCTGCACATAGATTTCCTTGACCTAAGATAAATGAGAATACCTAGGCATGAGCTCAACCATGCATAGCCTGCAAAAAGAGCCAAATTATTTGACACGCCAGCAATCCTACAGGGTCTGTCTCAGCTTCGGACGCATGCCTTGCTCATCTTCATTTCGACACTGTGAGATCGCTACTATTCATCTCTTTACCTGAGTGTGTTGTACCACATTATGCCTCGAATTAGTACACAATGATGATATCACTTCCAGGCATAATTTTGTCAAACGACTGATAGCGAACTTCAGATGTTCACCTTCTATGCCGACCAGTAGTGGGCGTCAACTCTAGGGTGGGCTTCTTCAGACCCTAACGGAGCCTTAACGTTGCACTTGCTTTTATAAAGAACAGTTTCTTGACCCAAGTAAACTGTACGATGGAACAGGTCATCCGCCAACCAACGATCGTGCTTTCAACCATAAACTCCCCAGTGGATGGAAACACCACCTAAGTCCTGCTAGGTGTTCAAGATGCGTCTAAAATGTTCCGAATGTTCTCCAGTAGAACTCATCAGGAAATTGCCCCATAACTACGAAGCACTTGCGTCTAAGATCCGACCTGAATGCCTGAATCACGAGGCTGAAAGTGCAGAACTTTCGAAGGGTTGCGGTCCGTCCCAGCGAAAAATTAACGATGATTCTTCCCATCATATTTTACAGGAAACACCTCTCGTTTTCGAAAGTCAGGATTACAACTTGCAACTGCTTGACTAATCCTACTACCCACCCTTCAAAGTTCTCTTGTGAAAAAAAGATTGCTAGTCGGTGAACAGAAATGGAAACGAAGACATCGTCACTATCAGCCACTTAAAACCAGCTTGTCTCCCAAAGTAATCGCGAGGTAAGCGTATCGCACTCCCTTTGAGTAAATTCTCCGTAGGAAGAACTCAATTTCCAAGAACTGAGGGTTCAGCTGAGGACCTAGGGTCATCACCACACTTTCATAGTAAATTACCGAATCCTAGTAACAACTTCAAACGCACCTGACTAGTCAGCGTCCGCTACAACGCAAAAGGCTTTTCCTGAAAACATCGTTGGTGATGATGGATGTTCAAAGGTTCGGTTATTTCCCTCATACTCTTTGTATCAACTTTTCAAACTGATGTTAGTTTCTTTCACTGTTCTTTTCTTCCGGTGGCAGACCGATTTTCGTCACTTCTCCCTGATAATTACTCATCACGGTACCACAAGTTTCTAATTTCGATTCCAAGTGCAACGACCACTGAAATAAAAGTCAACAAAGTATGAGGTGGAAACTATCTGCGGCCGTCTGGAGAAGAAACGCCAGTAGCAAACTATCGGGAATTCTGTCACTACCTTCCACTCAGTACTTGTATTTTGCGGTGGTCTGCCTGAACCTTGGGTCACCAAAAATCTCTATCGGACAACACTTCAAATTTTTTTTCTTTCAGTTTGTTTTAGCCACTTAAATATGTCCTACGAATGCATCGTGCGCCCTTGCAAATCTTTAAAATGTCTTCAACACCCCACATCTCTCTTTCACTTTTATTCTTCGTTATAGACCGGAAGCTGATCCAAACTCAGCTTGAGATACTGTGCAGCGACCGAGACCAGGTTTCAATGCATTTGGACAACTTTGGCTTAAATCAGCGATTGTCAGCGGACGCTTGATCTAACTGCAAACAGCACATAGGGCCATATTCGGAAGACCAAGATTTTCAAACCAATCGAGGCCCAGGAGGTTCAACTCAGCGTCAGTTAGATAACAGATTCCATTTATCGAAGTATCGTGACAAGATGCAGTACATGACGACTGATCCATTGGTGGTAATCGGCCACTGCATTTGCTAATAGGAGTTTGTACAATCTTCTGGACAGGAGGTCGGCCAATCTTCCACCATAGCTTCTTGGAAATAAACGTAGTATCCCAAGCTGTGTCGATTTGTAGTGGTACCAAATGCTCATTTGTCTGGACGGTGATATATTTTCTCCATGCCAGTGCAAGTGCTTGAAAAGCAGCGGTAAGACCAAGAGATTTGCCGACTGGTCGAGATTTTGATCCTCGACGGTGGCTGAATGGTGACCTGCCCGTTCTCCGTGGTGGTTGCTCCTTGCGAAAACCATCCTTGTGTTCCACGGTATTACACTCCCTGCATTTGTTCCGCTCATAAGGACAAGATTTAACGAGATGCCATGCGCCACAATGCCAGCAGGGGGACGGAGGGGTATTCTTCGTGCTTGTTTTGGTATTGTATGCGCTGTTGGGATGGCGAAACCAGGAGTCTTTTGACCGGAAAAGGGTGCAGGGGAATTAGATGTCTGGCGAACCTTACGCACTTCGTGATCACCCTGGCGTCCAGATTGGACTAAACTTGTATCCCGTTGCATGTTCACCAATCGTTGATATTTAGCAGCAATATTCAACGTCAGTGTTAGTTCTTGCTCCAACCGATTTAGCAGTCTCATTCTAATATCCTCGAACTTGGGAGATTGAAGGCTGCATATGAGTATCAAAGATTTGAATTGGCCATCGGTGATGGACCTCAACTTGAATTTTTCGCACTCGCGATTAACGATACCAACATGGTCTCGTTCATGACCAGTCTAGGACAACAATATCTGGCACTGAAAAGAGGCGAATGATCGCTAAAATGTTGCCTCAGGGTCTGTATTATGGCATGGATCGAGCGGTCTCTTGGGTTCTGTGGTAGTATTACATTGCAATACTGATCTAATTCGGATGGACCAAGCTTTTGAAGGAGGAGATGAACTTTGCACGAACCATCTAGACCAGCGAAATCAACTCTGAAGTGGTCTTCATATCTTCAGAACCGAGTACCGAAAGTCACGTTAGCATCGAGATCATAATGAAATTCTGTGGTACTGGCTGCAGTTCCGTCTACTGAAGAGACCGATATAGCAGGCATAGAATTCGTTGACTCAGGTGAAGAAATTCTGGACTGAGTTAACAACTCGATAATCTTCGTCTGTTATTCCAGAAATCTGTCCAACTTCAAAGAGTCCCTTTTTGATCCCATCCCCGTCGCCTTGTTGCGATCCCAGTCTATAGATAACGATGCAACGCTCCGAAACGAATGCGACTAACGACAGAACAATGACATATCGTCCCGATATTTGGCTGACACCAGAAGAAGACGATGTGATCGAAAGTTTAACTGAAAAGTGAGTCATTTATACACCTTAAATTGGCCTTGGCCAGAGAAAACAAAATCTCATATTCAAAGTGTAAAGTGGACCAGTCAGCGTTTGGTATCCTAAAATGTGGTAAAATTAGGAAACATAACATGGCGCACAAAAAAGCGCGATAATAAGGCGTAAACCTTACAATGATGATATAAACATGTTATAAGTTAGTTATTTTGGGGACTAGCCATCCCTGACACTAGTAAGTTAGAACCCTATTCGGTGATGACGTCTTAACATATAGATGTGATTAGGACACCGTTCCCTATTGTAAGACAAATTTTAGAGTGTTATGCAACAGCCTGGTGGAAATGAATAGTCAGACAGAGATATCCTTACCAAGCTCGCCAAGTTTCGGAGCCTCTGACAACTGAGAGTCGGTGTTACTAAAAAGAAAATAGGATCTCTTTTAGGCATCGAATAGTTGGTGCCCCAATAAACAAAAGCACTCCTTTACCGGAAAACGCAAGACCACAAGTTTAACCGTCTGATTCTGAAGAGGCATTGCGAACAAAACTCCTCGCCTACCGGTTTCAGCTTTCAACGTAAAGAGTGACAATAATTTATCCTTGAAAATAGAAGCACGCGCAGATTTCCGGGCATATAATCATACCAAATAAATCTCGGTAGTGGGACTTGGCCATTTGTTTGAACTGATAGACTCGGTGCTCAAGCGAAAGAGAATAGGTTGGAATGCCAGCAGAATATCAAGTCGATTTTGTAGAAAGAAGGCATAAATCTTACGTATGGCGTGAAGTGTCGTCTTTTTAATGACTTGAACGTTAAAAAGGCGCCATAAAATCTTTCCACTGGCACTAAATATGAAAAGAATATACCGTAAGTAGTTAACTACAATGTACAATGCGTAACGGGAAGCACTAGCCTTCAGACTGGGCGCGCGTAATGCAAGTGAAACGTTACTTTTGCTTTTATACGTATTTACATTGCTGAAGCATTCACTGATTGGGAGCCGATTGACATCCTAATTTTTCATGGGATTCTTTCCAAAAGCATTGCGACGAAGCCAAATGATAGTTAGCTAGGGCGATATGCGCAGAAAATATCGTATCAACTCAGATTGTTTAGACTGTATGCTTCTAAGTACATGAAATAACTACTATTAAATACTGAATACTTATAGAAGGTAACTCAAGGAAGCATTTTTGTGCATTTATTGTGCTTATCCAAGGTAGTATCGCCAAATAAAGTCTCGATAGAAGCATCATGGTGACTCGCGTGTATGAGAACACAATCTAGTAAAATTGTTGCATGGAGTGCAGACGTAATCCACATGTATTATGGATTAATTGAAGATTATCAACAAACACAGCTTCTTCCTTCATATAACGGGGATTGGTGTCTGGAGTCACATCACCCCTGTCTACAATAAGTGGATGGATTAGAAAAATCCTACTGAGCTTAAGGAATTCTCTTAGTGACCTCAAACAGCACTGTCAAGCCAGTAAATTTTTGCCTGGCATTATTCTGGTGTGCTCTAGCACAAATGGGAAGAGATTAAGTTTTGTATGGTAGTTTTGCGCCGATTATCAAGTCTATCAGAATTTTTGTGCATTTTTATCGCTTGAAGTTGAGCAAGCAGAGACTAAAACATGGTTGGTTTACCGATGATTTTTCCACCAAATGCTAAGCGATAATTCTAACCCCCTGTGCATGAAAATACGTGTTTAATCAAATTGGGATTCGCTTTTGCTTCATAAAACCAAAAAAACTTCTACACACACTTAAGAAAACTGTCTTCCTGGGGTTTTACTGTTTCGTGACACGATTCTTAATAAGCAGACCTCGATAGCTAACTTTGCGCTTTCCAAATCCATTTTCTAGGCGCTTCCGGCTAACCTTTACTTTTTGATCTCTCTGCTAATTCTCAGTAGATCTGATCGTATTTCCGTAGTCGTAGATGCAGCTCGCATTTTGTCACGAAAGATAAAATCAACAGAAGTTACATTATTTTATTTATAGAATAGTCATCACTAACTTCCTAATGTGTCCCGCCAAAGACAAGAAAGTGACCCACTCGCTTTTGAGTGGGTATTTCACAAATGTCAGAGTTTTTTTATATTTTACCAGAAAATATTTTTGAGCTGATCTAATTTGTCATTTTGGTAGTCACTTGTGTAGCTTTTGATGCTATTCACTTTTGTGGGTGGATATGCAGGTATTAATGACATCACTGTTCAGGTAGTGCATCGTTTGGTTAGTTCATCTGCTATCTGGTTGGCACTTTAAGGCCACTAGGACGTTAGTTGATTTCGATTCCTTTAGTTCCCTATTTTTACACCTTTTCTGAACACCGTGTTTAAATAAATCGAGGTTTACATACCTAGCAGTCATCGAGTTCTCGTGGACCAAACGATATTGATAGAATGAAGGGAAAGGTTGAAATAAAGAAGCAACTTATTGACTAAGGGAAACTGTTTTCGCCTTGCACTTCATTCTATCAGTATGCGGTAAAAATTTTCAGTAGGTGAGTCATTGCGAACACTCATTCTCCTAGGATGTTTTAAGCTGCTGTGCCAATTTTTACTTTGGAGTTAAGATTAAAACAAAAGGTAGTAGTTATCAAGCCACCTTTCCCATTTAATGCCCAACGTTGAGGAGCAAAATAATTGTACTACTCATAAGTTGCAAGTAGATACGTCAATAATCCAAAAATTAACACGACCATATTGTCGAAGGATATATTTTTTTCTGGTTTTGTAATCAAGAAAGTGCTAAAATAAAGCTTTACATGAGCACCTTTTTGTGAATTTTGAATAATCACGGATTTACAATGGACTTATCATCGAGAACTGTCAAGGACAAGCTCCATCTTATTCGACTCAGTAATATATCACATACTGAAAGTATCTTGATATGACTATAGACATTGAATTGTCTCTTAAGCGTGAATTTGTAAATTATACTGTATGTATGTAGTATATCCAATATATCAACTAAAATGGAGTCACTTTCGACTATAATGCTCAATTTTAACTCATCATAGAAGACGAGTTTGTCAGGAAAATCATTATTTTATCTGGCCATGGCCTGCAAACTTTGAAGGTGAACTCCGAAAATTCTGGCAAAAAGTAACACACCTATCCTGGAAATCTCATGTAAGTTCTAAAGAATTTCTTTAATGCATTCTTTTTATCACTTTTCACTTTAGAATCATCACACAACTCGCCTTATTAAGTGGACTTGGGTGTTTTTCGGGATATACAAAACTACTTAAACATTTCCCCTGAAAGTCCCAAAACATGCTTAAATTTTTTATGGTGGATCTGAAATGTTTTGCAGCTGGGTTAAAACACTGAAAGGCTGCTTAATTAAGACATTCTCCCTGCATTTCGCTCCATTGATAACTGGATACATTTTCCCTATCTTCGATATATGCATATCCTCATCGTTTATCTTTGACAGTTTACTCATTATGCAAATATCATAGATGGTACTCGAACTGAGTCGACTTTTCAATGGAATCCTACGTGTGCTAGGACTTTAAGCAACTAGGTGTAAATAGTAGATATTGTAAATGCTATGGAGGTGATATTCCTCTGGTGGTTTGAGGTTTACTGAATGTTTGTTTTTGAGTTATTCCGAGAAGTGATACGCGGTAGTGAAGTGATAAATGGCTTAATGCACCGTAGTTATGACTATCGGAAATGCGCCTCACTAACTTAGGCTTTTGTCTTTGAAGCAGTCTTGAACTCATTTCCCTCTTTAACTGCTTTGTCTTGGAAAATCGGGCAGTACCTTAAGCCCTAACATTCTGCGACTCACAGCCAAATAATAGTACTTACGGCCTTGAGTTGCAATAATTGGTTAATTTAATTATCCTTGAAAGCTAGACTTTGACCATCAGAGTGATTGATAAATCTCATTCATGTTAGAAAAAGGAACTCAAAATAATATGGAAGAAATAATTTGACTGGTGATTTACGATTAGTAATGGTCATTAAGTAGTCAGTAATATGTGACCATTGAATGTAAGATCATCTTTTTGTTTCCTATTACAGTGAATTTGTTAGGTGATATTAAATGGCACGGACTTGTAGAACTATTTCAGCCTTAATTGAGTCGTATATGAGTAATATACGGCGGTGAGCACACTACAAAGTGCACTACACCCATAAGACCGGATTTTTTGATTTGATATATTGTCAGTTGAAATGTGGGGCACGAGATGCGGTTGTAATACACCGTTGTCCTGAATGAGCAGCCGATAATTCCCTGGATAGAGGGGTTTGGCCCCTGTACATGAAGCTATTCGGTATTAGTCGATCTTCCTCCTAAGTATTAGACAATATTACATGAAGATAACATAAGCTTCGCCCAGTATCCCACACACATTAATGGAAGTGATCGTATAGCTCAAGCAGCACGAGGCTGACGAATCAGCTCTACCCAAACTGTGGTTATCTGGTAAAGCAATGACCATGTCTATAGTCTCCGTGTAAGAAGACTAGGCAGGACCAAAAAGCTTTACTTTAAACCATAAGATGCTCCTTCCAGCAGCTATATACGTGTTTGATAGCAGTTAATTCCATTGACAATTTCCAAAGGAAGGAAACATTCCCAACCGTAGATGAATCATCGAATTCGCTGTCTGATACCACAAAATGAAAAGATAATAGAAGTTAGTTCATATTCCAGACACTCCCCAAGTAAAACAGCTTTATGATGCTGTGTGTGATAAATGTATTACAGAAATTTTAGGTTAAAAATACATTTTGAAGCTCATCTCGCACAGATGTTTACAACTGTTTTGGAACATAGAAATTTTACTTGGAGCTTCTAAACTGCCATCCATCACTATGAAACAGTTTCGTTCTAGGCTTCTTTGCAGTGTCACAGCTCACACAAAATCGTGAAACTACATTTGTAACAAAGACTTCAGACTGCTCACCGAATCCTTCCTATAAGAATTTGAATTTACTATGCTGCATACTTTCTAATCTCATTCAATTTAATATATTTTAGTCTTTTTCTATATGAACTATATTGTTTTTCCTGCATTCTTCTCAGTCCTTTCTTTGTAAATTATTGTTTCACTCAGCTCCTTGCTTTTCATGAAAATGCTAGTCAGTCTGTACCATCCTGAGTCACCAAACAGTTACTTCCGCGCATCTGTGCTTCAGTGTGACACATGACTTAATTCTTCTGATGCTACACGTACCATTTAAGCTAGTCGCCTTCAAAGTTCGGACCGTGATGCAGATCGAACAACAGGTAGGTTTGACTAGAATCATAAAAAGCCCTGCTTTTGATGTATGGTGTGTCTAAGACTCGCGTACAAGATTCTAGTGGTGTCTAGAATCACCCCTCCATCTATCAGATCAAAAAGTGTTTACCATACGCTTATCTGAGAACCCTATGGTATTGGTATCCGGCCTCTTCGGAGTTGGTGTTATGCCAAGTGATAGATCCGAAGCTGCACTGGTCATCTGGATATCCATTAAAAGATGTCCATACTGTTAGGCTCGCATGTTCGTTTTGAGTAAGAGTTAATTGCTAAAAGAAACCATACCTGTGCCTATTTTCTGACGGACTGTAGCCCCATTTCAGTTAAGGATTAGTTCTGCCACTAACTCAGTAACCTCTACCACACGTGCTGGACAGATATTGTAATGCTAGTTAGATGGGCGAAACTCGGAAAAGAAATACATCAGGTGACCAGTGGAGATTAGTCGGTGTAGGTCATAACCGACATCTAGCCAGTGCTAACTTCCGAAACAACCATCCTTGTCATGCTAACTGGTGTCCTCCATTTGCCACCCAGGCCTAGACTCAAATAAATCACATTCCGATTAACTCCCGATGACGTTTGTTCAGGACTACTGCTCCTGCTGAAGCACCCATTTGGACCCTGACCGACTGACAAAATCAACGTAAAACCTTGTACATAGGTGCATCGACTCATTTTATCACACTTCACAGTAGTACACAAAACAGGTGGATACGGAGGGAATGATATTAAAGGAGACAAAATTTCGTGACAGAATAAACAATCCGAAGATAAAAGTTAGTACAAGTATTCGAGCTTTAGAAGATGTCAAGAAGTGAATACCTCTGGGCCACTGTGACCAATTTTCAGCCATGTCACCAAAAGTCCTCAACCACTAATTCCTTCCGTCTCGGGGTCCCCAACCAGACAGTCTACATCTCCACACACAACTCAGATCAACAGTCAGAAACTTCAGTGACTGGTTGATATAGTAGTAAAACTTGGGCACTGAGGTGGATTGTAATTTAATTTTAGTCTGTTTATTGGAAACGTTATACAGTGAAACAGTATCATTTACTGGATGACGTTTCAGACGTAATTTATTATCCATATTCATATCAAACGTGACATTTCCAATAAACAGACTGAAATGGGATTCGTTGACTGGTGCCATGTCTTGGTCTGGCCATAATAAACCCTCTTCCAACCTGGCACGTCGAGGTGTGCGCAGTGCATATTCAAGCTATTTCAGTCGGTAAAGGATCACAACTTCATCAATCAACTTGCCTATCTTGCCTAGTACCTTTCGCTTGACCTCGACATGGTTTATACGGTGATTCCACCAAACGCGAGCAATGATGCGAAGTCTTCTATGATCAAAACTCTGTAATCGCTTCATGTTTTCTTCCTTAACGGTCATATCTCAGCCATATAACGGGACAGAACAAACTACAGTTCAGCATACTCGTCCTCTGATAGATAGTCGGATATCTCGCAAGTCTGCGTCATAAATGACTCAAACTTGGCAAATGCCATACGGACCTTCTGTTTCCGAGCTGAGATTTCATCAGCAACCAACCCGTTTGGACTGATGCAGCTCCCCAATTAAGTGAAGTAGTCGACACATTTCACCACTTCACTCCCAATCCTTAAACTAGGAGTAGTTGCAGACCAGATCTGAATCATCATCTTACATATGACAGGTGCTGAGCTCACCCCTCATTTCGGTGTTTGTTGAAATCATCGTCCTCATTAGGTCTTCGTTGACAAACTGGATGTTCCGCGTATTGCAACTAAATACCAAAGCGGAACAGATTCAAGACTAGATGCAGAACCTGCGGAAAGCATGAATGAGCATCAGCTGTACCCAAAAATACTAAATGAAGGCAGGTAAACCTACTTTAGGCTTCGGAGAAAATACCTTTAACAAACATCACATCTGTGCAAACTTCTTGCAACTTGACACTCGTCAGACTCATTCTGTCGAAAGCTAGTTAAAAAGTATTCGCAAATTTTTCGCACTAAACTGGACCCTCAGGAAGTCGGATATCTCACCGGCCATATAAGTTGGTGAAACTGTTTAAGCTTTATGTATCCATGCCAAGATTTCGTTGGTCACTGACACATCAGGACTGTTCTGACTTTCCAAACAAGTGAAGGGATCAATTCATTCAACCACTTCTTTCCCTATTGTCACATAATTCATTGACGCAGATTGATCTGTAAAAACAATGCTCATTCAGTAGATAGTAAACGCATTATGTTCATTCTTAAATTGTCACTCAAAGTGTCCAGCATAGTTTGCATCTCTGGGTTTTCACTTAACACCACTGCCGTTTTTGCAATGTAGGCCAACTTCAGAGGTTTTTGCAAGATCAACCCCTGCAAAGTCAGATAAAGAGGTTTCTACAAGCAGGTTTTTAGTAAGTTATAATCGTGACAGATATCTTTCGACGTAAACAACCAATGTGATAGCCAGCCGTCCCGATAAAGTTTTCAGCAAAGTAATCTATCCAGTACCCCTTACAGTGTCAAGTGCTGCTACAAGTTGTCTTGACCAGAGTTGAAGGAAAAAAGTCTCTCTGTGTTCGATAGTGGGAAATAATCGGCAGGAAGCCCTAGACCTGGGTTTCTTGCTTTTTGGCACTCGTCAGCAGGGTATTTCTGCAAACATGAGGAAGCTGATAGTGAGGGCTAAAGACTGGAGGGCTTCATAGGTTACCCACTGGTGACTGTCTCTGTGTTCTAAGATGTGGTTGATACATCCATAGCTAGTTCTGAAATCTTCATAACTTTTCCTGGCCTTTCCCTGAGGATTCGTTAGTTTTTTAATGCTACCTTTTCCATGAGGCTGTAAATAGTACTAGGCTTCTTAAGAAGGATTGATGTCACGTTCTGATAACTGTCCTGCCGGTTCCTCTTGGAAATTAAGCTGATCATCGAGTTTGGACTCTTACGATTCATTTAGATATATGCGTACTGGGATCAGCGTCCAGGCTTATGTTTCAGACCGAGTGTCAATTCTCCAGCTTTAATTGGTAGTGATTTGGCATATCCGTGTCCACCAGGGAATGGAAATCGGTTAATGCCGCATCAGGCAATGTCTGTCTGAAATTCGTGCTAGTCAACAATAGCTTTTCGTTTTAACACAGTTGTAACAAGCTGTCGTCACTATCCGTTCACTCGAGTGGGATTCATAAAGTAACGTCTACATAAATTTGACCTACTAATTGTGCATTGAAATCCCCTGCTACGAAGGCCACATCTCAACTTTTATTAGGAGCTGCAAAGCTTCCCATGAAACCTTTCATTTTTTTCAAAACTCCAGTCCCATAAATGCTAATGCAGAGATTTCAAACAGACGGTGGAAGGTATTGGTCTCCTTACTACTTAATTCAGTCAGAGTGCACAGAAAACTTGTCTGTGCTCCATTTGAGAGATGTGCGTTCTGCTGTAAGACTTAACGTTATACTTACACCTACAAGAACTAGTCATGAAGCTTTCAGAAGCTCGAATACTGAATTTTTCAGGTTTACTGTGGTGAGGTTAGATCAAGTGAGTAACCATACTTAGGTCCTGTTTGACATCTTGCGAATACACCATACACCTGTCACCCGAAAGACTTGACTCCTGCTGCATTCCATCCAGTCAACAGTACATATTCTCTTTCGGACCCCTTACCTTGGCATTAGTTATTCACATTGTAACAGTAACCGCTATTTAGTCCTACTCCCTTCCAAAAGACCTTTCTTGTGTTTTACGGCCTCAAAAGACAACCGTTCCAATTAGTGTAGCTCTTTGAATCACTAAGAACTGTGAACCCGATCACCATATCATCGCTGCAACCCCCAGTCAGATAATACTGTGTATAACCTTACTGTTACTCATTCGCAGGTTTCACATGCTAGAAATACTTCAAAGACACGTAAACATATCACTTTTCTATATTATTTATCTCCACCAGTTGTGTCTGATGATAGATAAACTGGGATAAATTGCAAGTATATGTCGAATTTTCGTTCCTTGCAAAACACCGAAACATTTCAGTGATATCACATATACCATTGATTGTCAATTACCACCTGATATTTTTGTATATGTATCTTGCCCATCTGTTGATTACCAGTAAGGTTACTTAATTGTATCAAAAATATAACATTTTATGAAAGGGCTAGTCGAAGTAGGTTAATCAATCTTATTTTTGGTGAACCTAGCGATAGGAGAAATTTTGCTACCTTTAACTTAAATGCATTGAATAATTTTCAATCTTAATTCACGTTTTCAGATTCATGTCATGAACTGTATACTTCAGTAGATGAGTTTACCGTTTGTGCACAATTTCTCAATGAGTAGCAATTATTCCACTGGTAGCGATACTTTTACCTCGAGGTTACTGAGATGTTGGCAGGATTTTCTAGCTTCGTGTAAATCCTTCTACAGTATATCTGAAAATGAAGAGTACTCATTACTTTTAAAGGAATTTACAGAGACTGAGTTCACCAATGTGATCCGTGTAACTCTTAGTCATCTTATTTCACCATCTCACATCACTTCCGTGAATCATCATGAAATAGTAGCTTATTATTTTTTCAAAGCTCTGCTCACTTCAGGGAAATCTGTTGAAGGAGAATCAGATGATGGTATGATAAATGATGGAAGTTCACAAGACTCCCTTAAGTTTTGCATTTTTAAGGTAAGTCGATTAATTACCGATTTGGAACTAACTTTTATTTCAGAAAACCTTTTGTATTGAATTATTCCTCAAGATTGAATGTATTCTGGAGAAGCTTTTGGACGAAGTGTCTAGAAATGTAATAACATTTCCAATCAGTTGCATATGTAGTGCTGTTGGACTTATTTCAGATTTACTAAGGGACTCTTCATTAACTTCGTTGCTACTTCACCACCTTGAAGAAGTGTGGAATAATTGGGGAACGTTGATCAAGAAACTTATTGAATATATTGTAAGTACATATGAATTGTATGACTTCACGATAAGGGGTTTGTTGAATACTACACACAATGAAACAGCATTGGTATATCCAACAAATTAATTAACATGGAATTATATGAATTATAATTAGACCATAGATGAGCATCAATAATATTTGTACTTTCGTGCACTTCAAATGTTTTTTATTTGACAATAAATCGATCAGCTTTGGAGGATAAAATTTGAGTTTACCACTTAAAATCATAAATTCAGTTAGTAAAGCATTATACAGACAAGTCAGGTTCGTTTATCCACCTGCAGTAGTTGTGATCGTGAACACTTTGAAACTCATATTCCCACTTTCTAAGATAACCTATATGCTGTATTATTTGTTAGTCATCTCAATGAAGAGTAGTGACATACTCTTTTCGTCCAAGGTCAAGTATCAGAAGTTTTTGAAAACAGTAATCAGCATTACCTTGGATTGTTCATGACATCAGAACTAACTTAACTTCTATTATGATATACTAAATATGAAGCTTCTAGTTGGAACCTACGCAGAATCGTGAAATTTTATCATAATATTATTCTTTCTGAATGGTTGTAGGAATTGTCTGTCTTCAGGTCTAACAAATATTTGGTTTCTAAACATTTTCAAAGTTTCTGTCATCATCTCAGCGTCTCGAAATCATTTTTTCGTATTATGCGACTACATAACTGTGAAAATGAATAGTGGAAAAGAATAGCAATTCAGTGTAACTGGAAAAGCTGAACATCGCGCTGATCAGAATATGCCCTGCAACCAAGTTGACTCTTTGCGACAGAATAATTGAAACATTTAGCCATTCTGCCTAGAAGAATATGTATTTGATATAAACCTTCTTACACAATACAGCATTATTATTCACTAGTATGATAGTAGTGTATATTATGGACTATGATAATACTTCAGCGGTAGTGGATTACACCCCTTATCCAATCATAACTAAAAACAGATAATGACAGAAGATCAATTAACTCCTTAGCTGCTACAACATGGTATTTATAGCATTTCTGTAGATAACCACTAAGAATGTAGTTTGAATAGATCAATTATTAATGAAGTGATTGTCTTAAGTTAAAAATGTCATTTGAATAAATCTATCCATTGGCTAATTGACTTTTTTGGGGAAAGAAATGTAGTATGGAACAGTCCAGTTTGTTTGTGAGGTTACTAATTTAAAGATTGGTATAGGTTGCGGAGTGGTACAGAAAAGTGTCCCATATGAAGCGAATCATTTGAACGCGCTTAAAAGCTTAAGAACTAACTCTGAGTTTCATTAGGACTTTCCATTTTAGCCATTCAACTTCAACTTTGATGCCGGTGTTATCTTTATTCATGAAAGCGACTTCTGTTACAACAGTACTGGTCAGCATAAATTCATTTTTCACTTCGCGCATATTTTTCATGATTATGTTTGACAGAAGTTGGCATAATGAGAACAAGCATGTCACCACACAGTTTCTACAAGTAACCTCAATGTAGATGGAGGAGGTAAAAGATCAGAAAAAAGACGAAGATAATCATATCAGTAGCAGGAAAAAGGAAACTAGGCAAGACAAGGTAATCACAAAAGGAATAAATACATCATTATAGAAAGACCAAGATCTAGAAGATGAGTCCACCTGTTTCATGATGACCAATTTTGAGTCTTTTTTGTCATCAATAATCCATTTCAGTTGTTATACCGACCTCCATTAACGTACGTGGTTCAGATCAACAGTCAGAGACAGCAAAGATAGGTGTTATCTAAAAAATTATCTCTAGGCTTTTTCCTTCCTACTATTCGTTCTGAGAAAGGTATTGCCTGTGCATCCGAGACGAGTTCAAATTCTTCCAGTTCACAAAGTCTTATATCCTCATTAACTACTGGTCCTAACTCTGCCCCAGTTATCTAAATTTAGAAATTCAGGTGGTTTTATTAGTCTATACACAGTCGACGAGTTCACTGCCTAGTGCACGAACTTGTAGCTGGTTTTTGAGGTACTTTTTTTTTCCATTACCACAGCAACCAATTTACCCCTTTCGTCTAGTACTCTACGTTTAAACTTTACACTGGTCAATCACACAGCAGATGCTGTGAAGGGTAACGGTGGGTAAATACCTCTTTTCCCTAGACCATTTGTCAGTTACACATAATAGGTTTATTTTCGTACATTAGTTATCTCTCAAACTAAGGGTTAATTCGTCTGAAATTTAAATTATAAATAATTCTTACTGTTATTACTTTTCTAAATCTAGTTTACTAGTTGTTAGTTAACCTACATTACCTAATATAAGGTATACATCGGTGGACACGTGCACATTTCTTATCCCTTCTGCGCTTTTTGTGGTTTTTTTTCGTGTTAGGGGAATAGAGGAATATTTCTATGTAGATTGTTTATATGTACCATAGTAATCAGTATTACAGTTTCTGTAAACCGAAAGGTTTTCTATTTTTCCTCATAGTTGTTCAAAACTATTTCTTTCTAATCGGGTATATTTTTAAGATAAATCAACACTATCGGTTTTGAAAACTTGAAGAGGACTCATCATTCTATCTAATAGTGCTCTTTTCCATCTCCGTTCACTGATTTACTGTTTCTGCCGTTTTTCTCACAAACCATTTCAGTATTCAGCATTAAAAATTCAGATTAGATTCAAATGATGATTAGTTTTATTTCAAGTAAGATTTTCAGATTACTTCACTACCAATTATTTGTTTGAACTTCGAGTTCACGTGAAAGCTCTCGCAAGCTTAGGTTTATTTTCTGCAATTCTACAGATTTCACCAGAAGATAGATGAAGTCATCTGTCTTGATACGTTTGTAGAGTGAAACAGGTTGAACAAATTATTTACTCTTGTTTCTCAATGGAACTCTAAGTATTTTCTAAACAGGCTTCAGGTATTCGGTTACCTTTGCTTTTGTAGCACAGCCCATGCGTCGTGGAACCAACACGTCAGTAACTCAAAAGCAAGGCGTTGAGTTTCAGTTAAAGAGGCAAATCAGTTGATGAGGTTGTGAATCTTCATTGACTCAGATGACTGGAACACATGTTGTGCATGCCTTATCACCGTCTGTCTCATCGCTGAAGTAAACCTAGGCTAGAAGAAGGGTGAAGGTGACCAAATTACAAAATGACATGAGTTCACAAGGTCGGTCTGAGCGGTTTAGAGGAATGTAGACTTCACTTTTGAACTCCACGTGACAATTGAAATTGACAGTTGGAGACTCTAGGAGATATATGTGAGACTTGATCTCATTGGCTGAAAGGCATCCACGAATTATCTTACTGTTAATCCTGATACTGAATTCTTTTACTGTTTCATCGCTTCTTGTTCTCTTCTCACAACTTTTTTTTTACCACTTTAGGCTACTTTCTTCCTTATTTCTCTCTCTTTTGTCTTGCTGCCTTCTACCTTAATATGGTGATATTGAGGTGTGGCAGCTTGGACCGTTAGATAATAATATCAAGCCCCATGATGATGATGCTAATTGACTGACTGATCCTTTGTTTTTTTCAATCAGTGATACTATTCCTCGTAGATACAATATTGCATTCGTATATTTTATCTTTTAGATGAACCATCAAAATGGCATTGCAAATAATGATCAGGAGGTTTTTCTTTTTGATACTTTTCGTCTTTGGAGAACTGCACTAAAGGCGCACGTAAAAGTTAACAGTAACACAATGGAAAGTAAACACGCTCCAATATTTACTGTAAGTATCCTACTCACATTTTGAAAACAACTTTTCAAATGAATTTTTCTCTTTACATCTCCTTAAATTTCATTTAATAGCAGTAAATAAGAATTTCAGTAATTAAGGAGATTGTTGTTATGTAAGTCATTTAAGAGTGTCAAAAGATTTTAGATTGTGAATGAATAATAGTTTGCCTACAGCTCGGTTTGTGGGTATTTCAATAATATGTTATCATCTTTTATACTTCATTTTTCCTACACTTATTACAGCGTATTAGCTACAGTTGCTTTAAAAAGGTGAATAATTTCCCTAATGCTCACTGTCAATTGCCGTCATTACGGAAGGTTTGCTCTAACTAACTGCTGAAACTTGATATATTGGGTTCATAAAATTTCTCATAATGAAACAGTATAAGTATCAAAATTGATCAGGAAATAAAATCTTCAAACTTTACTGAAATTAGCCTACAAGTCATTGGCAGTTTTTTAAAGACTAAAGAAAATATGTGGATGGTTTGCATTCGAATCATTATGACCAAGTTTCGGACATTTTACTTAAGTTTTCCTATTTTCGCATGGATTCTACTCAGCAGTATGATCAAAGCTAACAGTAAGACTCAATAATCATATCCCACAGCTGTATAACGGGATAACCACACATTTATACACTTCACTACCGCCAGATGTGAAAGACTTTGACAAAATACCAAGTCATTCTGACTGAGGTAGTCTTGACTGGGCACCCAGTGTGAGTACAATCAAGCAATAGTAACGTATCACAAATTCACATGGCAGTGATTGGTGCGAAATAATAATCTAGTCAGTAGTAGGGTTTCGTAGCTCAGTTGGTTGATCACCGGGCAGGAAACCCGTTGGTCGCTGGTTCGAATCCTGCCGCGGTCCAGATTTCCATTTTACTTTCAATCATCACCCAGTAGAAATACCTGGTCGTTTAAATCTGTGACCACTTACTTTAGTAATATTCACCTGACTGCCTAGTCACAGCCGAACTTCTCCAAAAGTGATATACACTATTGATATCCACATAAAGATTTGTACAGTACTTGTCAGGAGGCACCTAAATATCTGTCGGATGTAGTTAGTGCATGAAAAGTATTGCTTAGTGTAAGCTGAATTTGTTTACACTGAATAAAATCAGTCCAAAGCATATTAATTTTACAAGTCAGCTTAGTGAATAAACATCAACCTATGCAATCAATTTAGCCAATAACAGATTGATTCTGATTAGAGCAAACAGATGAATATCTGTTTTTTGTACAATTCTTAGTTATTTTTATCACTGCAGATATATTGAACCTCTATCTAGAACATTTACGTTATGCATTTAATAAATGAGATATATGTTTGTTTGTCATCATACCACTAGTGTAGTAAATGAGACATGCAAAAGGACCTTGATAACCAATCAGAAATACTGCTACCAGTAAACTAAATATTGTCTATGTGTCTAATCCACGTCATAAATTGGCATGATTCACCGTAACTAATCAATCAATATTAACTTTGTATAATACATCGATGTGTTAGTAGTAGATTGTTACTGCATTCAGTCTACTTTTATGTAGACTTGAATAAATTAAAAAGGCGAAATGGACAAAAACAATATGATGAATTCACTTTATGTTCATAGACTCTCATCAATAAGTCGACCAATTGAACATTAGGAATTGATAGATTTGTGATATTATTTCACCTTATTCACTCGATAGTGCGTACTTTAAAAAAAGTGTTTTCAGTTCGATATTGCGAATAATTTTTAAAATGGCAGGAACTAGTTTCTACAGATTGTTTGAAATCTGTTAGCTGTTTTCAATATATAAACAGATCTAAAGTCAGAAAAACACAAACTTCAAAGTAACTGTCAATAATAACTGAAAATACTATGTAGCCGAAATCTAATAAACTCTAAGGGGTAAATTATTAAAATGACCGTTTACTTTTAACATGAATAAACGGAATATAGACTGACGTAAAACTGCACTTTAGTGGAATGTTTCAATTTCTCACACATAACAGCACAAAAAGGAAATCAGGGAAGCTAAAAAGATACTCAAATAAACAGGCAAGATAAAAGAAAAGAGAGCAAGTCTTGAAAACTAACACAGCATCCATTATTTTGATGATAAGAAGTGGATGCATCTGTATATCACAAGCATTGTCTTCTAATCAGTAATTTTTAACATCTCGAGATTCCCAACTAAGTAGCCTACGCTCTTCCACACGAATGTGAAGGAAAATCAGTGGCTTGATAGTTTGACTGAATCAGTCTTTTTTCACTCGTTTTCTTGTTGTAGTTCTACTAGGGATCACTAAAATAAAGTAACATAAATAGCCTTCTAAAGAACCGATGTTGAAACCACTTGGATGTTACTTCTCTCCATAAAAGCTAAAAGACCCTAGGGAAGGCATACTTCAATTTACCATATTATCTTCCGACTACTGTTCCGCTGATTCAGGAGTGTGATAACAAGGTTTTAGTTCGATTAACCACTTCTCGTTTCGCTTATCCTTGATTGCATGACCTTGTGGATAAGCCTAATCGAAAGTCACTACCTTGGCATGATGGTCTAAAATGCATATCGCAAGGACTCAACAAGCTATGTCTATTTTAAAAACTGTTTCTTGAGGTCCTTAAATGCCAAAAAGGTGTTGTATAGCGGTAAAGCAAAGCAGTCACCGTCATAATGTACATAGCGTATATATATATATATATATATATATATATATATATATATATATATATATATATATATATATATATATATATATATAGTTTCTCAGTGGATGGTTGATTGCCAGCTTATTAAATTCTATCATTTATTAAAGCATCATAGACAGGCAGTCATTTTTAATCTGGTTAACTCTTTGGGATCGAATCCGCTTTGATTTAAAAGAACTGCTCTTATCCATTCACATTAATCACTACCTGATGCTATAAATCTCGACAAAGCATAAAGAGCGGCTGGAATACAACTGCAAGATATCATTTTATTGTGGCAACTCTTGTCAACTTCTTACACATAAAAAAAGACCACAATTAATCCGGAAAAATGTATTTACACACTCCCAATTAATTTGACAAGGGGAATGTTTTATGAATTGAAAACACATTAACAAAACTGTTTGACGTCTTATAAAGCTTGAATATTTGCATTAACCATTATCTTCAAACTGTTTATTCTCTCACACAACTTTATCTACTTTGATATTATTCTTTTTATATTCACTTGTTCTTTGTATACTACTGTGAATTGCGGCAACTTGAACTGATGCACTCGTGTACGAGATGAGGTTCTACGTTGATTTTGTCTGTCTGCCTGGTGTCAGTTTATGCTCAACACCTACAAGCATTCGTGTATCAAAACAAGTAAAGTACGCGAAAATTGTAAAGCCTAATAATGAACTTCGTTTAGATTGTAAGCGGTTGATAAGAACAAAAAGTTTTATTGTTCGATTCCAGCATCAGTGAAGTCGTTTTGTTTTGTATCTTTATAATGAGAACTTCAGAAAAGTTGTTCAGTTTGTCATCTTTTGCTTAGGCATCCGATGCTGAATTCAATCATTCATTTACATTAGTTGAGCAGCTAGATTATGCTTCTGTTCATTAATAAAACATTATCCTAATTACGGTGACATTAACACAGAGGATGCCTTTGAAGTGAAGACAGAAGTAAGACAAGGCTTCCTACTATCATAAATGATCTTCCTGATTGTGGTCGACTTGATCATGCAGCGAACCATGAGGAGCGAGAAGACGGGCATGCGCTGGAACGATAAAAAGAGCCTAGAAGATTTGAATTTCGCCAATGATGATTTGTGTCTAATACCGCACAAACTCGAAGATCTACAGGCAAAACCAACAAGTTAATAGAAGAGGCAGGACAGCGAAAACGGAACTTCAAGTGAACGTAGAGAAGACAGAGATATTGAAGATACCCAACCAATAACAACAAGCACCGATAACCATTAACGGGAGAAACCTAAATGAAGTAGTCTCTTTCACCTACCTAAGCAAGGCATCATCGTTTCAACTACCGGTGACGGAGATGAGGACGTCAAAGCAGCCAGGATTGAAAAAGCGAGACAAACCTTCATTAACCTGAAATCAGTGTGGAGATCTTCTGCACTCAGCATAAAGAACAAGATCCGGATTTTCAACGCTAATTCAGTGAAGTCAGTGCTTCTATATGGTTCAGAAACTTGGCACGTCTCGGAAAGCATTTCCAACAAACTGCAGACATTCATCAACAGCTGCCGCCTATGGTCGCTCGATACTGAAGATCAGATGGCCAGAAAGAATAAGCAACGAGGAACTCTGGTCTGGCAACGAACCAACCAAGAACCTATTGCCCGACAAATATGCAGAAGAAGAAAGTGTAGATGGATTGGGCATACACTGAAAAAGCTGACTGGGGACATCACACGCCAGGTCCTCCAGTGGAATGCAAACAGGAAATGACGAGTTGGGCATCCGAGGCAATGGTGACATGGAGGAGACCATGTAAGGAAGAAATGAAAGCTTCTGAAGAGACGTGGAGCCAGGTTGAAAAGACTTCAGAGAATAGAGTGCAGTGGAGATGTGCTACTGAAGCCCTATGTTCTACTAGGAACTCAAAGGACAAATAATAATAACACAAAGGATAGTGTACGATTAAATCAGCTACTCTAGTAACTAACGGAATTAAAAGCAATATTCCGTTAACTATGCAGAAACAGGTTAACTTTCTTGTTTCAGTACATTGTCTACAGTTTATTATTCACGCACGCAAACGGAAAGTAAATTTTTAGAAATTGTGTCTAGTCAAAAAGATATCTTTCCAGTTGTTATTTACATGTTTTTGAGTGTTCTCAGGTCAAATTTCAAAAAAGCTTTTCTAACTTTAGTATTTATATCATTTGTAGTCCACTACGTATTTCACAAGCATCGTCCCAATTTATCGACTGAGTAACATTGCAATAAACACTATTCTCTCTTTTTCTAAAGATACGAAATCTTTACACTTGGAGTAATGACAAATTTAAAGTTAATCTGAGTTCAGTCAGGGTATATTACTGAATTTCAGAAAAGCATAACAGGTAGTTAAAAGTCCGTGTAAAACACATATAATGATTTGTATAATCTGCTCGAATTTAAAAGAAAATCAATATAAACAACTACCAAGGGGCGGTTAAATAAGTACTTGTTAGTAAACCATTTATTTGTGTCAAAAATTGTTTGGTAAATCATCATACAATAAATGATCAATAGTTAGTGTGTGTAGGCTTTTGATTTTTCGCTAGCAATTAGGGTACATCGAATGAGTTCCACTGTCATTTGGTAGACAGGTCTTTCATAATACGTTCATCTCATTTGTTGGACGATAGGACTATTTTCTGAAGATTCGATCCCAAAAGTCTGGAAAACCTAATATTTATTAATCACGCCGTTTTAGAAAACCCGAATGTCTGCTAAATTCCGAATTCGCATCTTGAAACTCGCTGAACAGTCAACCTGAGAAGTCACTTCAGAAAAATACATACATATATCGCTTTATTCCCTGTCGTCTCTGAGCTACTACAATAGGCGCATTGAGGCTGCTTCCGATTTGTCTTCTGTCCGATATATTGGTAGCTGGATTGGGATCAGTTAGACGGTATTCTGAGGTTCTTTACCGTACTTTTTTGTCCGATTGTAGGGTGCTGTTCGGATCGAGGGCTTAACCGTGAATCCTAATTTCATCCACCGCTTTTTTTGTAGAATGGATATAAGGTCGACTTGAAAGGCCAACCTAACAACTAACAAATCGGGTTTCGGTATTCTGGCTAGAAAAGTAGTTTTACATAGACTGTCGAGGCCTAATTGGTTATCTCAGCAGTTGCTAGGGTGTCATTTCAAGCCTCTCAGCCATATAAGTTTATTCTTGAGCGAATTTAAAGGTCATCCTAGCAACTGCTGAGATAACCAATTACATTTCTTCATTTTATGGAAATCTGCCTTTCCTACCAAAATGAAGAAACCTAATTTATTTCCATAATTGCTCGGGTGACCTTCAAAGTCGCCCACGCTTTATCTATTCACATGAGTTACCAAGTGAACAAAAGACGGCGAAATATTTACAGTCTTTCTTCCCCAATGACAAAAATTAGTTCACTGTCCTTACCTAAATGTAAAACTAAATCACCCGTCCAGGAAAGTGACTCTTAACGTCACTAAAACCACTGAAATAACCAGTTAGATGTCTGTATTTTATGCCAAAGCTACCTTTCAAACCGAAATATAGAGATCCAATTAGTCGTTTCTGTAATTGCTGATATGGTTGTTACTGTCAATCGTCCACAACGCAAGTTTTAATTCATGAAAATAAAATGACTGATTTCATGCTTGGAAAATAGGGTAATATGCAATAATTTATTTCACTTAACACGCAATGATCTCTCAATCATAAATCGTACGGAATTGAATAAGTAGTCGATAAATAGCTTTTGAGCAGAACTATACAATGAGTTAGAAGTCGAAAAGCTTGTCTTATATTCATTTCGTTGTAACATCGATTCACAATTCTCTGACACGAGTTACTTTGTATTTTCTAGCCACTTGACAATGTACACCTTAGTAGTTATGTAAAGGGTTCGCATACTATACTATGAGTTAACATATTTTTAAAAGTTAACAACATGATGCATTAATTCGCAAAGGAGAGGATGGAGTGAATATGAACTGATATGTTAAAAGTGATATGTCCAGATATTACTGGAAAACTTGTCTTCCAATCAGTTCCAAGTAAACTTTCTTGCATTGATTCTCAGATGAGAAATTGTTATTTTGTCTCAATAAAACATTTTTTTATTCATTCAAGTAATAGATTTATTGATTAGCTGTATTTTTTTTCTTCAAGTAAACGATTTTTTTATTGAGAGTTCATTCTCTGAGACTTAAGTTTTTGCTGTTTGACTTTCTAGATATGTGTGTACTATCTATTTCTTTTTGTTCTGTTAGACCCTGGTTGATGTTCTATATGTCTGTTTAGTGGGACATTTCAGAATATATTCCAAGTGTCCTGTTGAGGTACCCTCATCACTCTGGCCTAATCATCTTGTACGTAGTTTACGTACTGTGTATAAACTCGTAAATAAATCAGAGCATCTGACAATCAATAGTTTGTCTCCTACCCTAGACACACTTGTATATGAATTATTGTGTCCATGTTCATCAAACCCTTGTTCCAAAGAGTCTCACACCAATCTAACCAGTTATTTAATCTATACAATGAAAGCTCAACAAACTGATGGTTTCGATGAGGCATCCTTATTTCAACCAGATCCTGCCTTATCTCTCCGTATCATAATTCTCTGTGGTCTTGAGAATAGTCTAAAATTAGGTAAGCTGGTTTAATTTTCTATTCAAAAAATGTTTATATTCATTTCCATTATATAGTTGTTCATTATTATGACATCTAAAGTTATGCCTTTTATGTTTATCGAGGTTGTGTGGTATCTTAGTGGAAAAAGCTTCTAGCAAATGTATCTTTCAATCCGCCATTATTTGAGACAAAGCCATCAATAACATTCTGGTTATCATCTTCAATGGAATTTGAAAACTGATGAAGAATGAGATTTCTCAACTATTCATAGTAGTTGATTTTACTTAGTCGTCGGTTTGAGTTTGATCATTTCTCTAGGTTGGTTGACTTGTCTTTTTGACTTGAATGTTGTCATCTCTTTTACTCGCGAATGATCAATTATCTTGATGTCATTGAATAGAAGTGTCTTGATTACTTGTAGCCCTGTTGTTGAATAATTGTCGCTGATGTGCTTTGCTTTAGAGACGGATTGTCATGGGTTTTCCTCCTTACATTAATTAATTCCGACGTTTTGAAAGCATTTAGTCGGTCTAGATTCTTTGATTTATAGTTTCTATTGAATCTCTCGAGCTGTGTTCAATTTGAACATGATTAGAGGTTGTATTGTTCGTCCCCACCGTCACTGTTGATATCTATTCTCGCTTTGTCTCTATTCTTGCAAATATGATCCTAATTGGTTGCTGTCTGCTACGCAGATCTATTAATTACCGTCTCAATACCATACCTCTAAGAATTTATTTTCGTATCTTAAACTCGCTTGTTGAACTATACAGAAAATTATCTGATCGAATCTGTAGCCACGGTTGTCTGTATGCAGGAAAGTCAATAAGCTGACATCATGACGTTTGATTGCCGTTTGGTGTTCGTGAGTGCGTTATTAAATTGGGTGTGGCTAAAGTATTCCACATCTTGATGAACACAGCTTCACTGCAAATTATCTTCAAGAAGCTACTAACTTCACTTTGTTGTGTCGGTTAACTAAGTTTCCTTATTACAACTAAAATCCATGAAGTGAAACGTGGAATCTGTTTCTTTTCCAACATCATTTAACTTGATGCCATTCATTGTCGATTCTAAAATAAGTTAACAATATAAATTCTAAACGTCAAGCTTGTTGAACTCCATTTCCATTCTCGAATCTGTTGCGCATTATAGCTGTCGTTTCATGATAGATGTGAAAAGTTGATAAAATATACTACACTCTGATAGTCCTAAAGTTTAGAGAGATAATATTCAGTCAGTACGTACAAATTGTGCTTTGGATCAAACGCCTCCAAATAGTATATATATACTCTAGGAGTTTGAATTTGGCACAGTTTGGTTATAACAGTTTTTGTCACCTTTTTTGCACATTGTAGAGTGATTAGATTTCTAGTCGACAGGAATTGCTTCTTCAAATTAAACTACTCTCTAGTGCTCATTAGTGACTTGATTCGAGATGAGATTCCCAAAGTTCTAATGAGAAGTCGTGACCGCTGGGGCCAACCAAGTCGAACACAAGAACTATTACCAAACAACAGCATTGGATAGAGGTCGCGCTATGTCGTGAACAGACAGTAGTAGGAAATGTGGACTGTTGGATTCTGATGCGGAGACTCAGGGGTAACGTGCGGTCCGCGGAAACCGAAAATCCTGAGTTTTATCTCGGGCAGAGTTATGGGTGCGCTCTGCTGCGAAGTCCCATACTAGGACGAGACAGCTATCCAATGCACCCAGGTTTTCAGTGTTTTTCTAACTGAGGGTCATTCCGTGGCGAGTATCAGCCTGGAATCAAGAAATCGCTTCTGTTGTTTGCATATCGAATGTCAAGTGTCTGTATCTCATTTATCTAAATAGCAGCTTTTAGCGAGTCTTTTACATACCTAGGAAAACTTTTTACACCTTTGGATTGATTTTACAGCGTGTTGGAAATGTTTTACGCTTCCACACCTTGCTGTTACACACCATTAAGGCTGTATCTGTATCGTAGTAAATGCTGATGCAGTTTTATTGGTAGACGAAATGGAGTAATACAGTGTAAACAAGTACTGCATTATTTTTTCTAGTGATTGGGTTTCAGATTATTCTTGAAAGGGGGACTATCTTTTCTCAGCACAAAATTCTCCATTTTATCAGTTTTTCTTATCAGTATTTCAGTCAGTGATGTAGCCCTTTCATATATTGTTAGTACACTGAAAATATGCAGTAAGATTCTCGTAAAGTAACAAAAGGTTGTTGCAGGAGTGTCAGTTGTGATTTATGATGAGAAATAATCTCAAAGCAAAATATTTTATAGCTTTATTTCACGTATTTTGAGCATGCACTACGCAAACACATAGAGTGCGCGAATGAAAAGACTAGGAAATGTAAAAATTGAAACAGAATACAGCATATTCTATATCATTCCTTTTGAAGGATATGTCGTTCAAGTATTTTAAGGTATGAACAAATACAAATTGGGAAAACCAACTGAATCTGCTAACTGTTACAGACTGTTAAATAAATCCCGGTGATTTTTGTCAGAAAACGATTACGGCATTTCAGGAATGTGTATGGTTAGGTGGGAAGCTTTCATCTCGTAGACACATTCTTGTCCCTTATATTTTGGATTATTTTACCTGGCGACATAACATTGAAAATAGTGTATCTTAAGCTTCTTCAATGGATGAAACTACATAAATATAAATTTATCTGATTGCAGATCCGAATGATGCACAATTTTGGTCTTTACTAAACTCCATTTATAAGTTAATATTAAATATGGAGCTATGCGAATCGAATATAGATCATGTTTATGAAAATTCAGTCATCTCTTTGTTTTCTGGGGATGATGTACAACTTTTTCGTGCTCTAGATCTTTGGATTCAAATTGAAAATCGCATTACATCTGTTGAGTAAGCTTTTTGATTTCTTTCTTCAGGTCATTCTAGTTTTGGCATTCTGTTTTACCAAGGCTAAATATTACTCAATCAAAGGATGTAAATTTTAACAAATTGTTAGAAATAACGTAATTGATTCATGTGTTATGAGAAATACATAAAAGTTTGGCTACTAGTTTAAATCTTAAAATCTGAATTTTATATTACCACGTTTAAGAAACTGTAGTAATTTGAACCTTTGATGTGTAACACAGGAACATGACATCTTTGAACTAAGCAAGATACATTAGTCTTACTCAACTTTGTGCCGATACATAGTGGTAATTCAGTTCTTTTGCATGGTAGGAAGGACCTCAGTGGTAACGTGCTGGCCTAGGAATCTGAAGGTCCTGGGTTCGATCCCTAGGGGGTCATGTGTATGCACTGCTGAGAAGCCCCATACTAGGACGAATTAGCTGTCCAATGTTTCTCCAACTGATGTCATTCCATAATAAATTGCAACCTACACATACTTATATTTACATACTGAAATTTGGTAGAAACAAGTAGACTTATACAATAATTCATTAAGAAGGATATATACGTATTTGGTTGCCAAACTTCACAGGGATACAAAGAAAGTGGATAGAAGAATGGTGTTGGGTACAAAAGTATATAAGAGGAGAGGGAATAAATAAATGAAGACTAGTATAACACTCATAATTTCGAAAATGATGAAGAGTAGCTGCACCCACACCTAGTCTCCAACTACTAATACTGATACTCTAGAGGACGCTTAGCAAACAGTCTACAGGAATCAAACCGATATTCAGGAGCGGTGCTTAGTCTTTGCCTGGCTACCCGTAGTCTTCTTCAAACCTAATCCGGGTAACATGGTGCGTCGAAGTAGGCGATGGCTCAACGTGTGAAGCATATATCCAAGTCATCTCGATCGCCAGTGCGTAACTTCACATTGCGCTGTGACTCATTAATCCAACCAATTTAGTGGTAATTGAGGATGAGTACCAACTTGAACCTAATAATTTTTCGCAAGTATTTGTATTACAGTGGTTTTTATGGACCTGTTGTGTTACGATGTTGAGGGAGTGCTTAAATAATATTGTACATGACACAGTAAAACATGTTTTCTTTAAGGATTTACACTACACAAAACAACCTACACGAATAACAGATTTTGAGTGTTCTTCGTGCATACAGTCTTTCGCTACTACACTTTTAGTAACGTAAGCATAGATCATTTATAAACTTTAATAAAGCAAGCACATGCATATAACATGCAGACTTACTACTCTATTGTTCCACTTCACCTTGTAAATTGTGGGAAAGTTTTATCGTTTGAATAAGTAGTTCACATCTACTACTTTTAACAGCTACTGCTCATAAATTTTTAGACAGTGGATCATATTATATGCTTATCCTCTGACAAGCAGACAGAAGCAACTTGGAAATACGAAAAAAAAAAACCAAATTGACCATAAAAAATTTCAGTAATGCAAAAATTCCCATTTAGACATTTAGTAAAACAAACAATGTGAGCGAAGAAATATTTCTTTTCAATTAGTTCCTCATCAATGGCTCTACACTAATATAGCATTTTCAAACGTAAAATTACATACCAATCTAGTGGTGAGAGTTGTTCAGTGAAAGGTTATCAATCTCAAAGTTTCAAGAAGGTGATAATTGGTCAGGTAATTAAGACAGTTAACTAAAGCAAAGATTAATTATCGTAGAAAGATTTTGCGAACAGGTTCTTACATAATTGATATTTTATATAATGATAACTAAAGAGCAAAAATGAACTGTTACGTAAAATGGTAAATTGTTGACGGTAATTAGAGACAGTAGGGGGAGAGAAAGATGATTAAGTCTGTAATAATAATAATAATAATAATAATAATAATAATAATAATAATAATAATAATAATAATGGAGCTATTGAAATACTAGTTATAGTGAATTGTGTGGTGGATGAAATGAAGAGTCTTGTTGTAATAAATGAGCTATACAGATGGCCAAGGCAAAGAAAGAGGCTGTACGAATCTCTTCTGAACACACAGACTTGGCTTGTGTAGGTGGATTCCTATGGCTTCTGCTGTATGTAAAAGACGGACTCGTAGAGGATGGGTGAGGTGAGAAGGAATGTGATAAATAACTTTAAAGGCATTATGAATGTTAACTCGGTGGCCGGTGTCAATCAGATGAGAGAGTATTGAGCTTCGTGTCAGTCTGGTTTCCCCCTTACTTAGCCATGAAGGATGATGCTCGGCGATTCGACGACGGACTTGCCTAACTGTACGTCCAATGTAACTAGCTCCACAGGAGCAGTTGAACTGGTAAATGCACATAGAAGAGGAGAAGTCAGGGAGTCTGTCTTTAGTTCGTGTGGTCATCATCGGCCGGCTGTAGAAAACACAACATAACTTGGCGGCATTAAATGATCTTCTTATGGCATTTCTTAAGCGTTGTGTCACAATTTCGCTGATGATGTCACCTCGAAATTGTAGTCTTAGAAACAATGGTTTCTTGGAGACTGTAGGCATTCTGGTTTTCATATTGGATGTGTTCATATTTTTAGCCAGGAACGTTTCTGGATATCCATTACTACTGAGTAGATCGTGGATAATTTGAAGCTCTTCGTCAAAACTATCATCTGAACAGATGAGTCTCGCCCGATGGACCAAACATTTAACGAGATTTCGTTTATATTGCAAGGGGACGAAACTCAAGAAGTGGGTGTATTGACCTGTTGACGTTGGTTTCCGATACACACTTCTTTTTATAGTTCCATCCACCTTCCTTGTCAATCGGACATCTAAGAAGGTGATGCTGCCGTCATTTTCTGTTTCAATAGTGAAGGTTATTGCTGGATGGACGCCATTGAATTCATCCAGTATGATCCTTGCATCGTCCTCATTATTCACAATCAAGAATGTATCATCTACATAACGGCAATAAAATTCTAACCCGCTTATGATGCTTTCCAGAGGGCCATTTTCTAATTTTGCTAAGAAGAAGTCCGCTAAGATTGGGCCTAGTGGTGACCCCATAGCGACACCGTCTGACTGTCTATAGAATTCCTTATTGAAGAGAAAGTGTACATTCATTGTACATCGTAAGAGAAGCTCTTTCAAGGTGGATGCCGTAATTCCAATTTCTATGTTTCTCTTTTCCAGTTCGCTACATATGAAGTCCACTGTTTCCATCAGAGGGACATTTGTGAATAGGGATGATACGTCTAGGGATATCATCGACTTATTATTCACATTCAAATCTCTTATTTTATCGATAAAGTGAAAAGTATCTTTGACGCTATGCTTTACAACCTCCTTATGCAATGGTTTCAAGAGTTGTACTAGCCATTTCGCCGTCGCATGGTATGGAGAGTTTGACATGTCGAGAATCGGTCGGAGTGGTAATCCATTCTTATGCACCTTTGGTAAACCATACAACCTCGGTGTTACTGTGCCAGTAGGTCTGAGTGTTTCATACTCATTTTGTGAAATGAAGCCTTGCTGCTTCAGCTTTTTAAGGATTCGGATAATTGCCTCTCCGTCTTCTCTGTCATGTCAGTATTGGTTGGTAGTTTCTGAAATTTACTGTCATCACTGAGAAGTCTGTTCATTTTATCTAGGTATTCGGCTTTGTTCATAATAACCACCCCTGAGCCTTTATCCGGCCTGGTGATCAGCAGATCCTCATTCATTCGGAGTTTACGTAAGGCTTCTCTATGTTTTCTAGTCAAGATGCTTCTAGCATTCTGTTTACTATTCATAAATTTGTAGCAACAGATGCTAGAAGCATCTTGACTAGAAAACATAGAGAAGCCTTACGTAAACTCCGAATGAATGAGGATCTGCTGATCACCAGGCCGGATAAAGGCTCAGGGGTGGTTATTATGAACAAAGCCGAATACCTAGATAAAATGAACAGACTTCTCAGTGATGACAGTAAATTTCAGAAACTACCAACCAATACTGACATGACAGAGAAGACGGAGAGGCAATTATCCGAATCCTTAAAAAGCTGAAGCAGCAAGGCTTCATTTCACAAAATGAGTATGAAACACTCAGACCTACTGGCACAGTAACACCGAGGTTGTATGGTTTACCAAAGGTGCATAAGAATGGATTACCACTCCGACCGATTCTCGACATGTCAAACTCTCCATACCATGCGACGGCGAAATGGCTAGTACAACTCTTGAAACCATTGCATAAGGAGGTTGTAAAGCATAGCGTCAAAGATACTTTTCACTTTATCGATAAAATAAGAGATTTGAATGTGAATAATAAGTCGATGATATCCCTAGACGTATCATCCCTATTCACAAATGTCCCTCTGATGGAAACAGTGGACTTCATATGTAGCGAACTGGAAAAGAGAAACATAGAAATTGGAATTACGGCATCCACCTTGAAAGAGCTTCTCTTACGATGTACAATGAATGTACACTTTCTCTTCAATAAGGAATTCTATAGACAGTCAGACGGTGTCGCTATGGGGTCACCACTAGGCCCAATCTTAGCGGACTTCTTCTTAGCAAAATTAGAAAATGGCCCTCTGGAAAGCATCATAAGCGGGTTAGAATTTTATTGCCGTTATGTAGATGATACATTCTTGATTGTGAATAATGAGGACGATGCAAGGATCATACTGGATGAATTCAATGGCGTCCATCCAGCAATAACCTTCACTATTGAAACAGAAAATGACGGCAGCATCACCTTCTTAGATGTCCGATTGACAAGGAAGGTGGATGGAACTATAAAAAGAAGTGTGTATCGGAAACCAACGTCAACAGGTCAATACACCCACTTCTTGAGTTTCGTCCCCTTGCAATATAAACGAAATCTCGTTAAATGTTTGGTCCATCGGGCGAGACTCATCTGTTCAGATGATAGTTTTGACGAAGAGCTTCAAATTATCCACGATCTACTCAGTAGTAATGGATATCCAGAAACGTTCCTGGCTAAAAATATGAACACATCCAATATGAAAACCAGAATGCCTACAGTCTCCAAGAAACCATTGTTTCTAAGACTACAATTTCGAGGTGACATCATCAGCGAAATTGTGACACAACGCTTAAGAAATGCCATAAGAAGATCATTTAATGCCGCCAAGTTATGTTGTGTTTTCTACAGCCGGCCGATGATGACCACACGAACTAAAGACAGACTCCCTGACTTCTCCTCTTCTATGTGCATTTACCAGTTCAACTGCTCCTGTGGAGCTAGTTACATTGGACGTACAGTTAGGCAAGTCCGTCGTCGAATCGCCGAGCATCATCCTTCATGGCTAAGTAAGGGGGAAACCAGACTGACACGAAGCTCAATACTCTCTCATCTGATTGACACCGGCCACCGAGTTAACATTCATAATGCCTTTAAAGTTATTTATCACATTCCTTCTCACCTCACCCATCCTCTACGAGTCCGTCTTTTACATACAGCAGAAGCCATAGGAATCCACCTACACAAGCCAAGTCTGTGTGTTCAGAAGAGATTCGTACAGCCTCTTTCTTTGCCTTGGCCATCTGTATAGCTCATTTATTACAACAAGACTCTTCATTTCATCCACCACACAATTCACTATAACTAGTATTTCAATAGCTCCATTATTATTATTATTATTATTATTATTACAGACTTAATCATCTTTCTCTCCCCCTACTGTCTCTAATTACCGTCAACAATTTACCATTTTACGTAACAGTTCATTTTTGCTCTTTAGTTATCATTATATAAAATATCAATTATGTAAGAACCTGTTCGCAAAATCTTTCTACGATAATTAATCTTTGTTTTAGCTAACTGTCTTAATTACCTGAACAACTCTCACCACTAGATTGGTATGTAATTTTACGTTTGAAAATGCTATATTAGTGTAGAGCCATTGATAAGGAACTAATTGAAAAGAAATATTTCTTCGCTCACATTGTTTGTTTTACATAAAAAATTTGATTGCTATCACGTAGTCTGTGAAATATAATCTAACTCAGCAACTATGTACATGCTCATGCTAAAGGTTAAGAGTCACACGTATCATATGAGGGTCAGTGATGCTGTTTGTCTATCCACAACTTCATAGGTAGAGTGGGGTTCGCGAACATGCTACTCGATGGCTGAGTTGACCATCTAAATCAATGAACCACAGACCCACGTGACGCATAGGCATGTAAATATAAATTAATTGTGCTTTACGATATTTATTCACATTTTTTGCACAATCTTCCCGCTGCTCGAAAAGGAATAACAGTAAATCATAGGATTGGACAAATACAACTTCATGAAAGTTCCTTTCCATCAAGATAAGTTTGGTGTATTCTGCAGCCGGCTCACTTTGAAACAGCGACTTCCCCAAAATGTAAAAATGCGTGCTACTCAACTTGTTTGCGTATATACGTATTACTCTTCTAAATCTTCATCCCATAGGTCACATCAGAAGAACAGTGTCAATCCAATACCGAATGCTCATTGGTTGTTTGCCTGTCTGTCCAAATCTATTGGCTTTTCGTCCTACTTATTTGTTGATTGGTTGGTATCTCCTGAAACCATTTGTCTGTCATACTTAGTTCATTACCTACGGAAAATTAGTGATGAAAACGAGATTGCTGACAGATCTAACCATTCTATGATGACTGCAATCTTATCAAATTCATGGCCACTAAAACCATTGGAAGAAATGCTGCGCCAAATTGCCAAGTGTCTTGAAATTCTGGATAAAAGTAAAGGGATTGCGTTCTGTCCAAAACCCCTAGTTAACCGCATTTATCGTTCTTTATCCCTTTTAACTGATCTTTATCACACCACAACACACCGCTAATGTATCAAACTTTTATGTACTTCCGACACTTACTTTACAATGCTGAAAATTCTGTTTTGAATATAATATTTTTTAAAATTCAGTAACTTCAAAGATTACCTGTCAGTAATCTTTCTATCGCTTATGTTTGTGTATAATCATCGGGGTTTATGTTGGTCAGATGTCTGAATATGCTTTATTGTACTCGAACTGTAAACACTATTCCAGAATACAGTTCTTCGCTTATGACGCAATCTTCATACAACATGAGCACTAGGACTTGCTGCACAAAATCACCGCTTAGTGATTAAAAACGTCGCAGGTAATGTTGAAGTTCTAGCAGTGGCGGGAAACTAAGTAAAACGAAAATGAAGGTCGTCTTAATAAATAAAACAACACATAAGAACTATGAGAACAGTAAAACCAGTACATCTTTTGAGATGTAAACCTCGTTGGTAGAGAACGATGTATGTGGGAAGCTTTATAGTTTTCATTACAGTGTTGTATAGTAATTTTGATGGAGATGGAAAGCTTTACGGGCTCCCAGACCACAGCAAGTGGTTTTTTAGAAAACCACTCCCTAAAAGTTGGACATGAAAACCAGTCCACAAGAGAGTGGAGCCAGAGCTACAGTCTCATCTTTGTAGACTACTGAAGTACGCCACTCGTTCTGTCTAGATCGTGCAGCTTGTGGGTATCATTGGTTTGATATCAGGGTTTTTCGACTTCTACGTGAACACTTTGTAACCGTCAAACTGAAGAAATAAGCGCCGAAAATTCGCTTTCGTATTTCCTTCTTATGAGAGAACCTTTACCACGTGGAAGTAGTAAATCAAAACTTCTTTGGCAGGAGTTGTGAATACATAATCACTCAAGAACGGTCTGACTAGAGAAGCAGGTTTTATATATTCTCGGTTGTTGCAGTGTGTTTACAGGCGCAAAACCCGAATGAAAAACTGAGTGTCTAGACTTGTAAACTTCAGTTTTGTGCCTGGTTCTTTCTGGTCACTTGCTAGAATTTGGTAATTCATTCAATGAACTAACTCCAGTATGTATCATTAAAGGTATTGATGTCCCACATACAAAAATTTCTAAATTGACGATTGGTACTCAGTTTGATTATCTTTTTGATCAACTAAGTTCACTTGTTCCAACTTCGTCTGATAATCAAAGCTGGCTGAAAGCCAAATTTGTCGATATCCCGCATGATATCGGTAGCTCTGGTTCCAAACAGAGAAATCCTGACATCTCAGTATTCTAGTGCATTGAAAGGACTACGGAATAGAAATGATATAGTCATTATTAAACCTGACAAGGCAACTAGCCTAATTATTATGAATATGCAGGAATATAAAGACAAATTTCTATAAATTCTCAATGAAAGGAAAAAATTCATGTGGGACCATACGACAAAAGACATCAGAAAATTAGAAAGAAAATTAACTGCACGTTTATTAAACTCCTCAACATGAATGTGATTACCAAAAAGAAATTCCACTCGTTAAAACCCGTCTAATGTGAACACCTAAATTTATATAGTTTACCCAAGATACATAAAGCGAATACCCCATTACGTCCAATACTACCGACGTGTCGCGCCCCAACGCATAAATTGGCAAAATGCCCGGCACAAATGCTAAGTACAGTCAGGAACCAATTATGTAGGTTTGCACCAGGAGATAATTTTGAATTTATTGACTACATAAATGACATTAATATTAAAGACAAGACAATGTATTCTTTTGATTTAAAGTCTTTACTCACCAAAAGCTTCTAACCAAAACTGTTGATATTCTTTGTAATTATATATGCTTGAATATTCCTTCATTCCCCATCCCTTCAAAATATTTGAAAGAGGCATTACTACTGTACGCCGATAAGCTTCACTTTCGAAGGTAAACATTTTCGACAAGTTGATGTTGTCGCCATAGGTAGTCCTTTAGGACTGTTGTTAGCTGATGTCTATATGTCACATGTAGAACTTATGACTGAGGATAAAATCAACAAAATTCCTCTGTATAGGAGATAGGTTAGTGATATCTTAGTTATATGTAACAAACATGAGGATGCTAAAAGTCTTCTAAATCGACTTAACACCATACAAGCCACATTAGCTTATCATGTGAAGCAGAAAATAATAATCAGCGGCCTTTTCTTGACGTGTTATTAACTAGAAGGGAAGATGGGTGGATAAAAAGGTCGGTGTATAGAAAACCTATGTGGAACGGACAGAACCCTTTCATAGTTTCTATCTAATACAGTACAAACGAGGTTTAGTAAAATGATTATTCATAAGGACTCAACGCATCTGCATAACAGATACATTGGAAGAAGAAATCAAACTCTTTACAGAGACACTCATGGGAAACGCATATCCTCTGAAGTTTACCAGTCGTTATAAAAGCATCTCAACGGTGCGAACTTATCAGTATTCTGTCCCGAAGAAGGACATGTACATCACGCTACTGCATAAGAGGGAATCAAGCAGCATGATCTTAAGACGAAAGCTCAGTTCAGTCATTAAATAAACATACTATGCAGACAAGCTCAGTATTCTAGGGAAAACGAGACCTATGCTTCAAAATAGACCTCATCACTTCATGAATGAGTACGTCACATCCCGCTGTGTATACCAATTTACGCGTGTGCGATGACGCATACATTGGGAAGGGTAATTTAACTATGAAGTCGTCAAGGATGGTGGAGTATATCCCTAAATGGTTGGAATAACAATTACATTCACACAATACGATAAATACAGGAGCAGACATACACACTATAGCAACCGGTCACAGGATTGATCCCAAAACAGCCTTTGGACCACTGTATGGGAGTCGCCAAGACCGTATAATTGGGTCTACTGAAGCCTTAGTCGTACAACGGTTCAGCCCTTCTTTGTGTATTCAAAAACAATTTGTCCTTATCTTGGTAGCCTTTATTTTATTTTCATCCCAAGGGAGGTGTGAAAATGTATTATTCTTCCTTATCACTCCTATATTTTCCAAATCTTGTATTATCTTAATTTACATAGCTTGCCCCACCCTATTTTCATCCTTCATATAAAATCCCTTGATAAATAAAAGTGTGACCAGATTGTTCGAAATGTATTGAGCGAACACATCACATTCCCCATATAACCTCCGTTTTCTTGTCACATTATTCAAATTCATCAAAGGGACTAAATGTTTCGAGTCATCGAAAAATCGTTACACCTTACATCCAACCACACACTAAACACTAACATGGAAGTTTGTATTACTGTGTGACGGTCAAAGTTATCACACCTCATATAAACACATAGAGGGAGAAGGGACCAAGATGAAATATACAGAAATAAGGAAAAAAGTAATCAAAATTAGTAAGAAATCGTAAAGTTGAAAGAACAAAACAGTAACGAAACTCGACTTGACGATTAAGATGAAGATAACATGTGAATGTATCTGTGCCACTGAGGTCGATTCTGAAGAATATTGCCGAGAGTCTCCAACCACTGGTTTCTGTTGTCACGCGGACTGCAACCAGGAAATTCGGCTCTCCCTACACTGCTTAGACCAACAGTGAGCAATTTCATAAACTCATGGCATGACCGTCTCTAACTTTTTCCAGCTTAAACCTACTTCAGCTAATGTTGGACGACTGGGCATGCGTAACTTTTGCCTCAGTCGATGAAGGTTCACAACTGAATTACCCCGTTGACTGAAACCCTACGCTTTGACTTCTGCATTACTGAAGTTTTGGTTTCACGACGCAAAAGTGGTCGGACACCTGAAGCTTCCTTTATATCCTCTACTTTTGTTGGTCATTCTTCGCAGCCTTGTAGGAGAACAGAGCAGACTGCTGTCCAGTGCAGTTAGCCTTTAATGGGTTGTCGTGCCCGCAGCATGGCATGAGGTGGCAAAAGACAGGGCTGCATACAGTACTCATGGAGAGATCTTGTCGACCACTGACCCACCTGAACCTACTCGACTTCTCAAGTAGGCGTAGTCACTACGCTCCACAACTTCACTCCCTAATGTTAGACGAGAGTCCTAGGCAAACTATTCCTGGAGTAGCATTTCGGTCCTTAGAAATCCACCCAAAGTATTCTCTAAATGCCATGCGAGGCATGCAGAAGCCTGCATCCTGTCATCATCTTCGTCCAACATGTCGTTTGCATACCCTAGGTCGACTAATGAGTCTCTTGTGACAAGGTCACTTTGTGTGATACCAGATGAGGAGACAGATACCAGCATAAGCACTTCTATGACAAGGTGTGTTATTAGCTGAAATCGATCTGTTGAGTTCTAACTCTAATTAACAGTTGGTGACCTCATTGTTCAGTACAATATGTTTCTCATTTCGTTGTCATCCAGCCCTAACGAACTTGGATCCATACGACCTGCTCGACATTAGCAGACCTGTGTCATCTCCGGCATCGGCGAGATAACTAACCTCCCTATAAAAGGACAAGTACACTGCGCTGCAGTCAGCTCCGTCCCGCTGTACGGTTATACGAAATGGCTATTGAAAGTAGGTCTGAAGAGACCATTGCTTTTTGACCACAAGTGTCTTTGTAGCATCGTTCACTTATGGTGGGATCACCATGTTAGCAATGTAGAGGTTAGGTGAAGGGCACAAGCAATTCGGTCGATGATGTTGTGAACCTGCAGTCAGTGAGATGGCTTGGATATGTGTCGCAGATACCGAACCACTGCTTAACTCGATGTGCAATTCTAGGAGAAATTGGATTAGGTGGTAAGTAGGTCCAGTGGTCAGACCAAGAAGTGGCACCAATCCACGAAGTCCCTGACTGTTGGTCTGAGCCGCGTAGGGCGGTGCAGACTACCTGGCTAGGGTCCTATAGACGATAGGAACAAGCGGTTGAGGAATATTCGTGACATAGCTGAATATCGGTCACAGTTACACAGGTGTATTCACCCTTTAACACCTTAAGCATTTTCTACCTAGAGGTTTATTAATTGCTTTTTTGAGTTGGAATTCGTCATGGACTGATATCAGTTGGGAGAACATTGGAAACCTGAGAGAACTGGACGGCCGTTTCGTCCTAGTATGGGATTCAGCAGTGTACACCCATGACCTTCAGGTTCTGTGGCTAGCACGTTACTATTGAACCACTGGGTCGGGATCCAATGGTTCACATTTCCTACTTCTGTCAGTTCATGATGGAGCGCGACCTACATCCAATGTCATCGTTGAGTAACTGTCCTCATGTTCGACTTGGTTGACTCCACTGGTCACTTCTCATTGG